ATACGGATGTTCTGGCAAAATTCATTCTTGATCCTGCATCTGATTCATCATCCTCTAACCTCCAGTTTTGGGGATGTGATTCAGCAGCCTGCCGCCTGACTACAGATTTTTGTATTGACCAGCTCTGGCAACCCCCTGAGCCAGCAGCTTGCCACCTGATGGGCCAATTTTGAGTTCATCAGCCCCTGCAAACATGTGAGGCAGGAGAAGCCTCCAGCCTGATGCCTAACCCACGGATTTGGGACTTGCCAGTCTCTACAACTGTGTCAACCAGTTCCCTGAAATCTCTCTCCATATACTTATAGATACGCTTCACTGGTTTTGTTCCCTTGAAAACCCAGCTTAAGACACTGAATTTCTTTAATCAGCCAAAATATTCCTGAAGAATAAGTAAGGTGGAGGAATTGGCCGTCTTTCCCTAACAGATTGCAGGACTGTAATGAAGCTGTTAGTAATTTTAACAGTGTGGTACTGGCACAGAAATAAAGAAAATGATTGATGGAACAGAATATAGAGCCTAGAAACACACCCACACATATACAGAAATTTGATAGAGAGAAAGCTCTGTAGAGTAGATCAATGCAGGAAAAAATTCAATAAATACAGCCTGGATAACTAATTATCTATAAGGGGAAAAATTAGACTGTCTTACATCTTGTGTGTGCACACATACACGTGCAGAAGTAAATTCTCAACAAATTAAACACAAATGTGAGAAACAAAACTCTACAGTCACAAATAGGCATTTTATAATATAAGAAAATGATTAATAAACATGAAAAATGACTGATGTTATTAAAGTCCAGGAAAATGCAAGTTAAGACCACAATGAGATACCATTTCATATATGCTAGATTGGAAAACAAACCACCTTAAAATATCAAATGCTGATGAGGACACTGTCAAGGGATATAGTGCTCAAGAGAATATCATCATTTTGGAAAACAATTTTGCATTATCTTGCAAAGTTAAACACGGATAAACCCTATGGCCCAACAAATCCAATCCTATGTATAAAATCTCTTGCACATGTTATGTGTGCCAGCGCACATTTTTAAGAAAGTTCATGGTATGCTGTTTGTATCAACAAAAATTATAGACCAAATGTCAATGAATAGGAAAATGGATACGTAAAATGTGGTATACTCACATAATGAATAGGAAAATGGATACGTAAAATGTGGTATACTCACAGTGGAATGCTATACAGCAACGAAATAAACTAACCTTACATGCAAACATATGAATTTTAAAGAGAAACTTAAAAAAAAGTTGAATAAGACCTCATATTAAGATAGTGTAATTATCAACTTTAAAATGACAAAACAACGTTAGAGATACATGCATGTATGATTTTAGAAAGCAAAGGAAGAATAAAGTAATAGTGGGAGAGGCGTAAGAAGATAGGAATACATACACATGCAGTTGGTAACTTTCTAGAACTTTAGTTGGGTGGTAAGTTTATAAGTGTTAATTTTTTTTATGCTTCACATCTTATAAACTATAACTTTTTCATTTGTAGCAATTATTACATAACATTAAAAAAATTCTTCAGTGGGGTT